AGAAAATTCTATTACAGAGAATGACAAGTTGGAACAAACATAGATCTACCACATTACTCTTTTCCTTCCATTTCGACATCATTTTGCTTCAATCATTCCCAATGGACACAGCATCTAACTCTTTCACCAGACTGACAATACTGTCTACACAAATTTTAGTTGTAGCATTCCCATTGATCACACTTCTGATAACTGAACACAATACTCCCCATGCAATCTGACCTGTGTCCACTTTATCTAATACAAGATTTAGTGGGTACAAGTTAAAAACGTTACTTACATACAGCACGAATCAGAAAATATAATAGAAATAAAATGGTATGGGCAAGTTTCTAAAAATAAAATATCAGCTATCCTTTTTTTCCTGAGTATTAAAGACATTTTTAAAAGAATTATTTATTTTATTTGTTGTTATTATTTTTTAATTTGACCAGAGAGAGAAAGAAAGGGAAAATGATAAAAATAAGCAACCAGGTCTAGGACTTGAACCACTGTTAGCCATGCAGGAGTCTAGCACCTTAACTACCATGCCACCTACCAGCCCCGACACAATTTTTTTTTAAAGCATAAGGCAGGTAATTCAGAGTACGAAGCCCATATTTTACAGACTATTCGAGAAGTAAACTTCTTTCTAAATTCTGTTTTCTTAAGAACTAAATTATCTTGATAATATTCTTATTAGGCCATTCTGGAGTTTATAAAGCACTTAAATACATATTCGCTGATTTCTCTGTTCTGTTTAATGTCAGAGGGCAAGTGTACTTGCCACAGAAAGAGACGGAGAAAGGAGCCCCACACAGGCCACAGGCACGCCACAATTCTCTTTCTTCTATTTCTCTAACCTGCCAGGATTTGCAGCATGCACATATACACACCCAGTGTGTTTCCCAAGCCACCAGAACCAGGGCAGGAACCACAGTCAGTCATGTGGTAGCTGGCTCCCTGTGCAGAGGCTTAACCACTGTGCTACAGAGCCAGGCAACATTTCATTTCATTCTTTTTTGAGAAAGATTTTTGCTATAGGGTACATGTACTCACTAGACAGAGAGACAGAAAGAGAGAAATCACCCCCAGGAGGGATGGCCATGTCACAAGCTGGTCTCCTTCATTCTCCTCTTGGGATTTTGGGCACACATGCACACATGCCTGGCGTGAGTTTCAGGCCACCAGGTCCAGGATTTGAACCACAATCAACTATATGGGAGTCCAGCTACGTAACCATTATACCATCTGCTGGTCCCTCACTTAATTCTTAACAACTCTGAGGTAGGCATTACTTCTGCTCATCCTGAAAGATCAGGAAGTTGGGTGTTCGATGGAAGTACAACACTCCCCTTGCCCAGAGAACAACGTCTTAGCTCCAGGCCTGTAAGGAGCAGCCCTCCTCTCTGGAACACCTGGAACGTTCTTCTCCTACAATCCCCTTCTTCTGCCCAGCTATTACTCATCCTTGTAAGTAAGTTTTTACACAAATGGTGCTTCCTCCAAAGCTGAGCCTCACTTTTACCTTTCAGTACATATTTGCTGAGTGTCAGCTGGAAACGAAGGCTCCACACGGTGCTGGGCACACAGTGGAAAGGGTCTTACACCCGCATGTGCAGCACCCAGCTGGAGAAGCAGCAGTGAACAACAGCCATACCATTAGAGCCTGTCCTTGGAGCTCTCATCATGGTGTTCATTGCACCTTATTGTAATTGGCTATCTGTATGTCCCACTACAAATGAGAGGTAGGGTGCTAACTGGGCTGCTTGGTACAATCCCTGTTGGAGAAAAATACTTAATAATTATTTGTGGAGGGGTCAGCAGATAGCATGATGGTTAAAGGTGCTGGACTCCCACATGGCTGACGTGGTTCGAGTCGTGGACCAGGTAGCTTGCTTTCTTACTTTCCCTCTCTCTCTGTCTCTCTTTCTCTCTCACTCTGTCTCCCTCTGGTCAAATTGAAATAAATAAGTAAAATAAAGATAAATAATTATTTGTGGAGTTACTGTTTAAGCCCAAAATACAAAATTAATGAGCCAGGATAAGACCAGGACTTAGGACTCCAATTCCCACACTTTCATCTCTAGAAGTATCACCAAGAAACAGCAATGATACTAATAAAACTTTATGCTAACCTACTAAACGATTCCACAGAAGAATTAACTTATACATACACAATGTTTATAAATTACGCCTGTCTGCAACATAAAACCTAGGTACATACAGGTAACATATAGCGAGTATCTTACAAACACACTGATAACAGAGATCTACTAATTAGTAACCTCATATTTCTTATTTATCCTGATTAACACTTAGATATTTATAATAGAATATGTTAACCATATAAACTTCATTTTTAAATGTAACAAAAATTAATTTTCTGAATGTATAATTCAAAACTTATACTTCAAAGAATGATGTTATAATGATGAAACTGGCACATGATTAAAAAAGAGCTGTTCTTTCATTCTTCAGGGGGATATCAAAGAGTTCATGAAAAGGGGAATTAAAGCAAAAGTTTTGGTGAAAAAAATGGAAATCCATGCATAGTTTTTTCCATAAGAAATATTTTCCGTGAATTTTCTGAAGAAACCTGGTATAGGTACATATTCACGGCATGGTCTGCCACCCTAACTTGGCTGAAAACATTATGATATCTTACTGAATGCTCAATTTTTTCCTTGAAATCATAGAAATCACAAATATAATTCCCAAATTGCTAGCACATCTTTCTCTTACCTTCTTCTAAAATAACTGTTTAAGCTAGTCTTAAGAAAACAGCCTCTCTTACTAAAGACAGTTAGCACCATCTAGTGAAAGAGGCTGGCAAAACCCGAGGGTCAAAAGAAAATTGCTTCTATAGCACTGTAACACATTATATATGAAAAAAAAAAATTAGCACCATCACTACTCATGATTATGATCTTTTTAGTTTATCCAGGACTCTAAAAGACTTTAGCTTTTTTTTTTTTTTAATTGACAGAGAGTGCATACACTTGGAGAGAGACACAGAGGGAGAAAGCAACCCCCAATGGGATGTGGTCATGCTCCGATTCCTTCACCTCCATTTCTCCCTCCTGTTGAGATTTTGGGCATGCACACGTCTCAGATGTTTCTCAGCCACCGGGGTGAGGATCTGAGCCACGATTCGTCACGTGGGATCCAGTTCTCTTAACCATTATGCTACAGGGCCAAACTGCCTTTAGCTATTAATACTATATTCACTTTAAAACCCTAACAATATAGTCATTAAAAATTTTGGGAACCAGCAGTTAGCGTAATGGCTATGTCGCTGGACTCCCACGTAGTCGACCGCAATTCGCGTCCCGGACCCGGTGGCTTAAAACCCACGCCAGGTGCTTGTGCGTGCATGCCCAAGATCCCGAGAGGAGAACGGAGGAGAGGGGATTGCGGCGTGACCATCCCCCCTGGGGGGTGATTTCTCACTTTCTGTCTCTCTGTCTCTCTCTGTCTGTCTGGTAAGCACACGTGCCCTACAGTGAAAAACCTCTCAAAAAAATTTTTTTACCAGAAACATTCTAATTATGCAATACTTAAAAGGAAGATCATTTGCCATACTGGACACATCGCTAAATACGTTCAATCCATGAACACATTTCCCTGTCTTCTAACTTGTAGCCAGACTTGGAGGTCCTCAACTTTATCCTGTACATGTGGGAAACCAAAACCTACCTGAAACCAGGAAGATGACCCGGGGACTACGTACAGGGTGACTTCACGTACAACGTGTCAAGGGAAGACTAACCAAGTGGGGGTTGATGTACAGATCTAGACAAGAGATGGCAAGGACTGAACTGCAATGGAAACAAAGGGTCCGTGGAGGATGGTGAACAAGTACCCAGTGGGTTTGGGAATCACGACAACAAGAAAGACGTCTTTAAACTACTGCATTGTTTCTAAATCGGTGATCCCTCTCTATACCCTTGCTATTATTACCTTAAACGTAACTGAAGTGCTTATTTACTTTTTTTCTCTTATTCCCACTCCCTTAAGCATGTTTCTTGAGGAGCTTCAGCACAGATGTTAAATCATGCTGTAACTAAAAGAATGTGCATGTGAGACTGCTGATTGCAATGGCATAACTCTAGCAGAGATAACTAAAAACAGAATGAGTTTTCCCTCTATTTCTAAAAGCGTTTTCTTGTGCAAGTTAGGAGGACTCTTCTGTTATCTATGTACCATTAGCAACTCTCAAAACCATGATCACTGCAACATAATGATCATTTTTAGCTGCTAGAAAAAGCAATTTAAAATAAGTTGATCCTGGGCCAGTAGGTGGCATGAAAGTGGAGGTTGGAGTCTCAGACTCAGCAGCTTGAAAGTCACAACAAGTAAATAGATAAATAAATGAATAACTGTTTAAAAAATTAATTAAATGAGTTGATCTTTTTATATTGCATCTTTGTAAAAACATCAACTCACTTATTATCGTTCATTTTTCTTTAAATTTTAAGATAAAATTATACTGCACTAAAATAACTAATTAAAAACTGGGGGTAATATTGAAGATAAATACAAAACCACACACACACAAAGAAACACAAACAGCATATAGACTATAAAAATTTCTTTTTTATTACAGATTTATTTTAATTTTATTCACACATTCATTTATTATAACTGGACCAGAGAAAGAGACGGAGAGAAAGCAAGCCACCAGGTCCAGGACTCAAACCATGGTCAGCCATGTGACATGAGAGTGTCCAGCACCTTAACTATCACATCACCTGCTGGCCCCGAGACTATAAAAATGTATTTCTAATATTGCAACTATGTAGCAACATTGTTACCATAACAAAATTAAAATCAATTTCATTTCAATTAAATTCCACTACAAAATTCAAAAACACTCTTAACCAAACTTTTCATTTTCCTAGGTCCTTCATTCACATAAGCCATAAGAAATTTCTCTTCAGTGGAATTCCTACCCCATGAACTCGGATAGGAAGATTATTTACTGTAAGCCTGAACGTTCCAAGCAACCAGACACATACCTGAATTAAGGAAGAACTGAGGAGAATCTCCGTGAATGCCCACAGTGCCTGGCCCCAAGGAGTCAGATAAGGTATTCACAAAGGAAAATACTCCACTCATGATTCCAAAGCCCAAGCCAGACACTAAAGAGGAAGAAAAACACTGTTAAACCTTTTTCCTGCCATAAGTTCTCTTCAAATTAAATTTCCAAGGACCAAGGAATACTGTTTTGCTGAAGGGGACAGGGTACAGATGGCTGCTGCGGAAGCAGTGGGCAGCTGGCCTTGGCTCTGCTGAGGCACGTGACTGGCTAAATGATGAATGAAGAGAGAAAAGGCAGAGAGGGAAAGGAAATGAATAGTGAAATGCAGATGAAAAAGGAAGAACTAGAAAGGCACAGAAGAAATAACTCAGACAGAGGAGGGTATGAGCCTGAGGCTTGGCGTCCGTTTATGGAAACAGCCTAGAGAGTTCAGTTCGGTTGCATAGAATGGAATTGAGTTTGAGAGATGATGTGATCCCTACACCGAGCTGGGGTGACTCAACCTCAGAACCCAGATCCCATCTTTAAACAACTCTGAAAGAATCCATGCAGAAGTAGTAATTATATTAATGCAAGGAATCCTCCTGGTATCGCAAAAGTCATGGTAAACAGCCAGAAAAAGTAACCGTTAAATTATGTAGGAACTGCTAGTTAACTAGATTGGATTCATGTTAAAAACCTAACTTTCAAACTTGGTTAATATTTAATGGACATTCAAATAAGGGTCATCTGCAATCACTTTTCTTTATATAAGAAACCTACTTTTCCAGAAAGCTGGAAAATAGATAGTATACACCAACAGGTCAAGACAGACAAATGATAAAAATGACTTTTATAGAAAGTCTGATTTTTTTTTAATGACACCCCACAATTTTAACTTACCATAAGCCAGCAATCGCATAGAGGGCGCTGTCTCATCCGGGTTTATACTCTTCAGACCCTCACTGGCTTTTCTAAAATAAAATCACACACGTAATTTCTAAACAAAGAAAAAGTACAATATCAAGAAAGCACACAAGATACTTCGAATCCAAATACTTACTGAGGCTTTGTATTAGGTTATACCCTAAATCTTGAATCTGTTTAAACTAAACTGAACAAATTTTCTTTTTCTTTTTTTCATATCAGGGGAGAACACGACAAAACTGAACAAATTTTCAATGAGCTAAAAATCAATAAAAAATTTTGGGACCAGCAGTTGGCTATGTCACTTGACTCTCACGTAGCCGACCGCAGTTCAAGTCCCGGACCAGGTGGCTTAAACTCACGCCGGGTGTATGTGCGCATATGCCCAAGATCCCGAGAGGAGAACAGAGGAGAAGAGATTGTGGCGTGGCCACCCCCCCTGGGGGGGGGGTGATTTCTTGCTTTCTGTCTTTCTCTTTCTGGCGAGTGCATACACCCTATAGCAAAAAACTCTCAAAAATAAATAAATAAATAAAAATTTCCAACTAACTTGCCTTTTCTCTAACTTTCACATTAAGAAAAAAAAAAGAGCGAGAGACAAAGGGAAATGTAAGGGACCAACCCATCAGGCACTGAGTTTAAAAAAAAAAAAAAAGGCAACATTTCTGATTACTTTCAGAGCTCAGAAAATACAAGGCATCTTTAAAAAGCTCACAGAAAAATGCACATTATAAAAAACTGCACAAATTTTCATTTCTTTTGTACCATAATAAACTCATACTTTAATTCCATTTCCCCACATACCTTTTGAAGTCCCCTTATATTTAATTCAATGTCCTATGGGATCTACCACTTTGATTTTTTTCTGTTCCCAAAGCACTGTCTCTTCATTCCTCCTTTGTCAGTACTTGGCAGTATCTTCCTCCAGGGCTATCCCTATTCTGCCAACCTCCTTTAACCCCTTCGCTTCATATGAATAGGACCTAAACTGTACTCAGCCTTCAAAATCGAGTTCAGACGGCAATTTCAAGCTGTTTCTACTGATGGCTGCTAATCACTAATCTCTACTTATCTCAAATCCTACAATACTGTTAGTATGAATTCTGATATGGGTACTTAATATAGTCTTCCGATGCTGAAATATTTTACATAATTGTTTATGTCCCCCAAGTAGGCTTCAGGGAGAAAGCAATTTGATACTTTCCAATCTGATACTTTTATTGCTTGCAGAATAAAATGCTTCTATTAGAATATGTGATAAATGGGGGCCGGCAAGTGATGTGGTAGGTAAACGCTCTAAATTCCCACATGGCTGACCACAGTTTGAGTCCTGGACCTGGTGGCTTGCTTTCTTGCTTTCCCTTTCTCTCTTTCTCTGGTCAAATTTTTTTAAAAAATAATAACAAACAGAATTAAATAAATCTTAAAAAAAAGAATATGTGATAAATAAATACTTTAAAGGACAGGCTATTGCTCAATAAAAAATGATCTTCTAGGCTGGGTCTACAGACTAGCCGTTAAAGAAGTCAAATTCGATACGGCCAACTACAGTTTGAATTCCAGCCATATCAGCTTGAAAAACATTATCAGCTGCATGTCCAAAATCCTAACAGGATAGAGAAAGGGAGAAAGGGTCATGGCATGACCACACTCCATTGAGGGCTGCTTTCCTTCTCTCTCTGGCAAATATACAAGCCCTCTGGCAATTAACTTTGTAAAAATGATCTTCAGAGGGATGTTATTCATGCTTGTTACGACCAACTCCCAAACTTACCATGAACTCCTGGCTCCCATACAAATGCATTAAGAATATTACTACTGGGACCAGCAGATGGCATAATGGTTATGTCGCTGAACTCCCATGTAGTTGACCTGGGTTCAAATCTTGGACCCAGGGACTTAAACTCAAGCCAGGTGCATGTGTGTGCGTGCCCAAGATCCCAAGAGGAGAATGGCAAAGGGACTATGGTGTGGCCATTCCCCCTGGGGAGTGATTTCTCGCTTTGTCTCTCTGTCTTTCTGGCAAGTGCATGCACCCTACAGCAAAAAACTCTCCAAAAAAGAAAAGAAGAAGAATATAACTACTGGGGCTGGCAGGTAGTGTGGTGGTTAAGGACGCTGGACTCCCACATGGCTGATCACAGTCTGAGTCCTGGACCTGGTGGCTTGCTTCCTTTTATTTTTTTTTCTCTCTCCTTCCATCCCTCTCTCCCTCCTCTTCTGGTCAAATTAAAATAAAGAAATAGTTAAATAAAATAATCCTTTTTTTAAAAAAAAAATAAGACTATTACTACTACAAATGGATGACTATATTGGATTGAGACAGTCAAGACACATTTTTGCATTAAAAAAATAGAAAAATAAGTGGTGACTTTTCTGACCACCCAATAGAAGACTTAATGTTGAGTGAAGTGAGTCAGACTTTAAAAGATACACCCTGTATATTCCCACTCAATTTGCACTAAGTGTCTACACTTTACGGCAGAGGTTGAGAGATCTAAAGACGTGATGGTGGAAAGGATTGGTGTGGATGGTCGTGACAGTCAGGGGGAAAGTGGTTGGAAGAGTGTGGGTGGTGAATGATGGGTGTAAGACCAAAAAGAAAAAAAAAAGATTATAAATAATAAACTTCTGTTTATAAGAGGAAAACAAGTCAAAACCTTTCTTTGGTATTGTCTGGAATAATTCACAATAGTGTGTATCTGTTTATTTATCTGTCATCAAAAGAGCATTTTGCCTAAAAGAAAGGTCTGACGAGAGTACGAAATATCAACAATCCTTTGCAAAATTGTAGTTTTTCAATAATTAGCCATTGTTACAAATACCACTTTTATTTTTGGTACATGTAAAATTGCAACTGAAATATACTTTGTCAATGTTTTTTGAAAGAAATAAAGTCTTTAAAAAAGAAAGAAAAAGAATATTACCACTACAGTTTGTTCCACTACCATCACTATTTCTTTTTTATTTTTAGAGAGATTTTTACTATAGGACATGTGTACTCGCTGGACAGAGACAGAGAGACAGAGGGGATGGCCACGCTGCAATCCCTCCTCTTCCAGTCTCCTCTCAGGATCTTGGGCACGCACGCACATGCGTCCAGTGTGTTTTATGCCGCCAGGTCCAGGACTCAAACCTCAGTCGACTACCTGGGAGTCCAGTGATGTAACATTACGCCATCTGCTAGTCCCCCACTACCATCACTATTACTAATACTTGTTGACTAGAAAACTCTACAACATAGGATCTTGACTCAAAGAACATTTAAACTGTGCTTACTACAGAGTATATTTACAAAAGCAATAAAGAAAACAAAACATTTTAAAATGATTTTACAGGTGCTAAAACAAAACAAAACAAAAATTAGGCTAAATATATGTGTGTGCGTGCCCAAGATCCCAAGAGGAGAATGGCAAAGGGACTATGGTGTGGCCATTCCCCCTGGGGAGTGATTTCTCGCTTTGTCTCTCTGTCTTTCTGGCAAGTGCATGCACCCTACAGCAAAAAACTCTCCAAAAAAGAAAAGAAGAAGAATATAACTACTGGGGCTGGCAGGTAGTGTGGTGGTTAAGGACGCTGGACTCCCACATGGCTGATCACAGTCTGAGTCCTGGACCTGGTGGCTTGCTTCCTTTTATTTTTTTTTCTCTCTCCTTCCATCCCTCTCTCCCTCCTCTTCTGGTCAAATTAAAATAAAGAAATAGTTAAATAAAATAATCCTTTTTTTAAAAAAAAAATAAGACTATTACTACTACAAATGGATGACTATATTGGATTGAGACAGTCAAGACACATTTTTGCATTAAAAAAATAGAAAAATAAGTGGTGACTTTTCTGACCACCCAATAGAAGACTTAATGTTGAGTGAAGTGAGTCAGACTTTAAAAGATACACCCTGTATATTCCCACTCAATTTGCACTAAGTGTCTACACTTTACGGCAGAGGTTGAGAGATCTAAAGACGTGATGGTGGAAAGGATTGGTGTGGATGGTCGTGACAGTCAGGGGGAAAGTGGTTGGAAGAGTGTGGGTGGTGAATGATGGGTGTAAGACCAAAAAGAAAAAAAAAAGATTATAAATAATAAACTTCTGTTTATAAGAGGAAAACAAGTCAAAACCTTTCTTTGGTATTGTCTGGAATAATTCACAATAGTGTGTATCTGTTTATTTATCTGTCATCAAAAGAGCATTTTGCCTAAAAGAAAGGTCTGACGAGAGTACGAAATATCAACAATCCTTTGCAAAATTGTAGTTTTTCAATAATTAGCCATTGTTACAAATACCACTTTTATTTTTGGTACATGTAAAATTGCAACTGAAATATACTTTGTCAATGTTTTTTGAAAGAAATAAAGTCTTTAAAAAAGAAAGAAAAAGAATATTACCACTACAGTTTGTTCCACTACCATCACTATTTCTTTTTTATTTTTAGAGAGATTTTTACTATAGGACATGTGTACTCGCTGGACAGAGACAGAGAGACAGAGGGGATGGCCACGCTGCAATCCCTCCTCTTCCAGTCTCCTCTCAGGATCTTGGGCACGCACGCACATGCGTCCAGTGTGTTTTATGCCGCCAGGTCCAGGACTCAAACCTCAGTCGACTACCTGGGAGTCCAGTGATGTAACATTACGCCATCTGCTAGTCCCCCACTACCATCACTATTACTAATACTTGTTGACTAGAAAACTCTACAACATAGGATCTTGACTCAAAGAACATTTAAACTGTGCTTACTACAGAGTATATTTACAAAAGCAATAAAGAAAACAAAACATTTTAAAATGATTTTACAGGTGCTAAAACAAAACAAAACAAAAATTAGGCTAAATATAAGAATAAACAAATTAAATAAAACAGAACATTCTTGTTTTCTGGGCATTGTGTTAATTTATATTTCAAAGTGTGCATTTTCATTATAGTTGACCTATTCTTAAGTCAATATAAATATCATAGATTACATTAAATTAAGGCAATGCAGGGTTCAACTGAAATAATAATAAATATAATGCAAAGAAGTCCTTTTCTAGAATCAGAAGAAACAATG